CGAGGTGATAGAGGACATCTACAAGGGCCTCTGAAGCTCCGCCACTTTGACCACCTAATCAACAGGAGTCGCTACTTCCTGGATTTTGGACTGATGGCTTCCAGAGATAAGAAGCTCCCACAGTTGTAAATTTTCTTGTTCTTTTGTTTTGATATTGATGTGCTAACCTGACGTGCTATGCAGATAAATTCAAAAGGAGGGAATACCCAGCTCCGGACATGGCTTCTATTCTGAAGGCCACATCTACTGTCAAGTCGAGGCCCCTGAAACCGGCGTCCAATGGGGCCAAGGAGGTCCGAGGTAGGGTGGAACGCCTGTTCAAGGACAGCACCCCAAGGGCTTCGAAAGAGGGAACTCCCCAGACGCAGGAGAAGCCTAAGGAGCCTCGGGGTAAGGAAAAAGTTCCTGAGGAGGCGAAGAGGAGGAAGCTGGTGCACGTCACCAGCTCGTCAGGGAAATTTGAGACCTCAGTATCCCACGAGGCTAAATCAACAGGGGAGCCGAAGCTGCTCGCATCCGCCTCCAAAGCCATCAAAATAGAGATGGTCAGAGAGGCCGAGGCTGCAAGGAAAGCTGCTGAGGTTGCTAAGGAGGAGGCAGCAAAACAGAAGCCTGTTCGAGAGAAGGAGAAGTCTCCAAGCTTCCTAGCTGGAAAGGAGGAGACCTTAGCCCCAACCTTAGTAGAGACTCTTCCTCAGGAGGTCCGGAGCGCCACAGAAAGCTTTTACCGGTGCTGGACGAACAGGTGGCAGCTGCATGCCTCCTCCTGCGATGCCACCGACCTGACGAGGGCTTTGGTGAGCCAAAGCGTCAGAACATTTAGCCTCGCACTTGAACGCAGGGAGGCCCTGAGTGATTTTCAGACAAGGACCTAGTCTTCGAAAGAAAAGGCGGCCTCCCTCGCAGAGGAGTTGAAAGCAGCTAAGTCCGAGGCGGAAGAAGCCAAGGCCCAGAAAGTTGAAGAATTGGCCAAACTTGAGTCTGTCTTGGCTCAGATTGAGGTCTTGAAAAAGGAAGTGTACGAGTCACGGTGCGAGGTTGCCTCCCTGACAAAGAAGGTGGAGGTCTCCAATGAGCACCAGAAAGTGACCACCGAGGCCCTAGAGAAGGCAAATGCCTCCTTGGCGTCATCCCAAGAGGCTTACCAGTTCTTGGAGGGC